TTAAATAAATTATTAGCAAAGAAAATAATAAATGGATAATAATTCACTCTAAGAAATTTTAAAAATTATTCCCTATTAGGGTACCTATTAACATATATGTGTATTATATGAATATTCATATATAAGGATAGATGACATGAGAAAAGCATGTCATTAGAAATTGCAACTGATAATAATCACTTTTCTTAATTTTAGATTAGTGCTGAAATGATTAGAAAGAATCATTTTATTATAATTTAAAGCATCCACTCCCCAAAAAATGTCTGACATAACACTAAATGGTGAGGCACTAGAGGGCTTCTCAATGAAGCAAAGAGAAAGAACATGCTGGAACCTACCAATTACTGTGTAATTCAGAAGGTCTTGCAACATCACAAAGCAAAAACTTAGTATTGGGAATAGAAGGGCAGAAAAGATAAACTTGAAATAGAGATGAACACTTAGGGAAATATTAAACCTTTTCTGAACAATGATGAAAATGTATAATTTTAAAAATATAGATTTAAAATATATATTTCTTTACACATTTATCAGTTAGAAAAGTACGTTAATCCTTCCTAAAATAATTCACAATATAATAGAACCCTTGTTAAAAGCCAAGTGCAATTGGAGGCAGAGAAGAAGTGACTAAATTATTACTTAAAATTAATGTATAAAAATGGAAATAACATTTTAAATGAAAAATAGTAAAATGAAACTGTATTTAGCAAGTTTTATCTATATGGTAAGTGTCACAATAACTGATACCATAATCCAACAGCAGAATACAAAAACTAGTAAAAATTAAAAGAAAAAACAGAAAGGCTGGAAACAAAACACAAAAGCTATGAAGAAACCCATTTGTAAATTAAGTATTTAGCATATGATAAATAATGCATTTTAAATCAGTGGGGAAAACATAGATTTTTCGACTGATGGTACTAAGACAACTGATTAAATATTTAGAACAGGGTAAATTTAGAGCCCATCTAACACTGTATATCAAAATACAAATCCAGATGGTTTAAGGAGTTATGTAAACAATGAAACCATAAAAAAAAAACAGAAGTAAATATAGGAAACTTTTAATTCTTGACTTAGAGGTCTTTCTAATCATGCAAACAAGGTGTTCATGCATGAAACAGCAACAATAACTAAAGAAGAGGTCAATAATTTGAGGAGTGGGGGCACACAGAGGAGTTGTAAGGGGCACAGGAATGGGTAGAAATAGTGGAAATGCAGTATGCATTCCTAATGTATAAAACCCTAAAATAAGAACAAGTTTCTCTTAAATTACCAGACTAGATAGACACTGTGTCCTTACTTTGCCCACTGTGATGGGCAAATGTTACACATTTTCAAATATACTTTGCATTAACAATGTTATAGATAGAAAAAGGTACAGATATAGATATTTTGAAAAGACAATGGGTTATTTCTCTTTGTATATCCAAACTCTGGTACAGTATCTTTCAAATAGTAGATATTTGGAATATTATTTCAAATTATTTCCAAAATCTCTTCTTGGGTTTTCCAGAAAGGAAATAGTTTCCGAGCCAAATAGTTTAAGAATGCTCATGTTCTATAGGAAAACAAAAAGGTGAGGAGAGACAGAAATTGCATTGAGAATCCATCTGGCCTTCTGTCAAGGCACACCCACCAGAAGCTTCCTTCAGGGCAGAACTCAGTGAGTATCCCAATTACACAGAGTAATAATCTGTGTAATTTCCAATAATCTAAAGACATATACCATTTACAGACTACCAGTTCACCATTTAATTGATGTTTGTTTCTCATGCATGTTGTCCTCTCTCATCAGAACTTTTATACACTGACATTATTTCTTTGTCTAGCTAGTAGTTTACTACATATGCCAACATTGTAAGAGCTTAGTGTGCTAATAAACATTCCACACACAAACATCTTTAATCTTGAATTCTTTGGTTTTATATTCATGGGTCACAAATATTTAAGACAAAGGTGGTCAACTCCAGCTTTATCATTTCCCTATCACCATGGAGAAAGTAGATATGTGTGGGCTATTACCTTTGCCGAAGAAACCTAGTAAGCAATTGGAATTAACACCCATTTCTAGCTATGTTTCTATTAGTTGGGAAATCTCTGAAACTTTCCAAATTTCATAAAAGAGAAAATGCTGTCCCAGTTTTTCTATAAGACCATGTAATAATTTTTAAAATTCATTCCTCTACAACAAAAAACTAATTTTAATTAATAATGAAATTGTAGGTCTTCTGATATAATTAACACACTGAAAAATTTTTATTGACCAAAATATTTTCTCCCGTCAGCTGAGTATGTGCAGTGGCTAAAGCTACACATTCCTATTTAACTCAAATGTCATTTTGTTCCCATATTGTCTGATATGTTTTTAAAGGTTTCCAATAATAAATTTGATCTTTTATAGATGAAGAATAAAATCCTGGGGTTTATATTACTTCGTTCCCAAGAGGAAAGTCATTTCCCTTATGCCTTTGTTTAAAAAAATTATTATCAGACGTCCATGCAAACAACTAAAAACAAAAAATTATATGGTGTAGCTAATTGAAAAAATGCTTTCCCTGCACAAAGAAATTGACACTAAGTGCTGTATTAGCAGGAAATCAGTGATTTTCAATTGACATTGCACAGGAAATCGCTTAGTGTCAATTGATATTAAATGGGCAAAATTGTACTGAATTAGTACAAAATGATTTGGTGGAAAAAATGTGCTTCCATTAGGTGACTTGATATTAAGTGGACACAAATGTAATAAGTTTTAGAGGTCACTAGTCAACAAAAATCAGGGCATGCCATCCAACCCTGAGTACATCTAACTGCTTGCTCTTAACACCCTTATCAAAGGATAAGTTAGTGTCATATTATCATGACAAACTTGTGCTCCCTTGCACTTTCAAGAAATGTGGAAAAATTCTAATTGTTTAAATGGATTAAATTAACCATTGGTAAGTACCATGACTTCGTGGGTCTACTTGATGATGCAAATATCTCAAAAATATGTTTTATAGTAATTCTGATGTGGAAAGAAGACAAAATAATATCATTTGTTTTTCTTTAATGTAGTCTAGGTTGAACTCATTTTAGAAAAAAAGTCCTGCCCATAAGCAAATAAAGGGGTTGACTGAATGAGTGATATCAATGGAAATCACAAACGAATCACTCTATTGGTGTTTAAATACATATTGTGGAATCTGGATTATAAGGAAGAAGTAAGTATACACAGGAGATATGGGAAGAAGAATGAAGTATTAATAGATCACTACACAGTTATAAAGACAGCAAATTGCAAAGAATGTTGCTGATATCTGCTGACAGTAGGATTCAATGGTTAAGAACTTGTGCTGACTGCCCTTGCAGAGTCCTAGAATTCAGATTCCAGGCCCAACAGCAGATGGTTTATGACAGCTTGGAACTCCACCTCCAGGGGATATGACACTCTCTTCTAGCCTCACTAAGCATCTGCACTCACACACACATACCACCTCCCGTTTGAAAAACACACATACATAATTTAAAAGAATAATAAATCATACAAATAAGGATTTGTATGGTATAGGATAATATAAAACTATATTTCTTATAATGTAAAAAGTGCTCAGTGTTATTAAATAACTATAGATCATACTACCTAACAAAATATGCATTATTCTCAAGTGAATATGTAGTATTTTGAAATATATTAAGTCAAATTTAGTACCCATAGATTTTCAAAAGATCAAGATCAATGGTATCTTCCATAGCTGGAATTTGGTAAGGTTAGAAATCAGTGACAAAAGAAAAACAAAAAATTCTGAAAATTAAATACAAAGACACTCTTAAATAACAAATGGACCAAACAAAAATCACAAGGGAATTTGAAAAAAACTTTGAAACAAGTAAACAAAAAGTTTTAGCCCATATTAAAATTTATGCTGTAAACAAAAACTGCTATGGGGAATTTTATGGCTATGACATTTGCATAAAAAGGAAAATTTTAAAGACTCAAAATTAACAACTTAATTTCAGAACTTTAAGAATTATAAAATAAAACAAATGAGCCCCAACACAGACATCAGTAAAGTAATGGGGAACTTTGAAAAACCCAAAGTGGCTATTAATTAATTTTTATTAAATTTGTACCTTGTCAGTTTTATGCACAGCGTCCTCCCCTACATCTCTGGCACACATGTCAACTCACCTCTATCCTACAAGTCCTTTTCTCACACCACATTTCTGCTGATTCGCTAAGTAGAAACAGGTTCATTTGCTGGCCTGTTGGCCACTGGTTAATTCTAGCTGTCATTATCTCCAGTTGTTTTTTAAAAGAACAACAATTTGATAAAAATTGCATACTGATATATTAAGAAATGAAAAATGAGTGTGAGGATTCAATTCTACGGAAACAGAAATAAATGCTAAGTGTATATTATAAGCAACTTTATGCCAACAGTTTCAATAATTTTGAAGAAATGGAAAAATTCCTTTTAAAAGACAAAATAAACTGGACAAATTCATAAAGAAATAAAAAACCTAATAAGGACATCAAGTTAATAATGAAACTTGCCAAAAGTAAACCCTTATTCCTGACAGCTATACTGACAAACACCACCAGACGTCTAGAGAATTAGCGATGTAGAGAAGGGACTAGTCCCAGACACTTGTGGAGATCTACTTCTATCATGAAAGAAAAATAAGAAATTGTAAGTACAGACAAGCGTGCCTCTCTGCACTGATGATCGGAACTACAAGTGCTTACCAGGTAGGAGAGAAATGGCACACTACTGAAATGGCTAGCGTCATAGTAAAGCGGGATTTTTTGAGAGGTGCAAGGATGAATTACAGCATGAAAACTTATCACAGTAATACAAGCAAATAGGGAAATCCCAGAAAGTCATCTCAATTAAAAGAGAAAAACAGGCAAAGCTCAACATCTTTCACAGAAAAATTATCAATAGATTGAAAAGATACATATACATACATATATACAAAACTTATAGCATCATGATGCTATATAAAGAACTCACAGCCAGGATCAGCCTCAGTGATAACAGGCCAAAGCCTTTTCCTCTATCATCAGGAACAGAGTGAAGATACAAATAGTCATTTCCATTCAATAATACTGGAAATTATTAAAAAGAAAAATAGAGGCATTTAATTAAGCAAAGAAAAATAATTACCTCTCTAAACAGATTATGTGAACCGATGTAAATACATATACAGAAATATTAAAGACTGAATAAAAAGCAGATTAAATACATCAGAATACAGAATATGTAATGCATACATTAGCTATATTTACATATATTTCAAGTAAATAATAGAAAGGAGATATTAAGGAAATTCTATTTTAACAATTTCAAAAAGAATAGACTAATTAAGAATCAACTTACACCAGGAAATAAAAGAAATGCACAATAACAACTAAAATACATCACAAAAGGAGCTTAGGAGGTGAATCAGTGCAAAGATTCCTGAGGTTAATGGATGGGTAGCCGTAATATTGCAAATTTGTCAATATTACTCAAGGAATCTACATATTTAATACAATCCTGTATAAATCCTAAGGCCATTTTATTTAAAAAAAACTGATAAAATTATACAAAAATTTCCATGGATTACCAGAGGACTTTCAAAACAATGTTGAAAATAAGCAACACTTCCAAAAGTAACGCTTTTGATTTTAAAATTTATTATTCAGATAGACCAACCAAAACAGCAAGGAACTACGGTAAAGACTGACATAGTCAATAGAACAGAAACAAATATAAACTCTGCAATGAATGGCCAAATGAGTTTTTTTTTTTTTTTTAAGTTTTTCGAGACAGGGTTTCTCTGTGGGCCTGTCCTGGAACTAGCTCTTGTAGCCAAATGAGTTTTTTAAAAGGGTACCAAGACCCTTTTTTAAAAAACGGATACTCTAATTTAGACATTAAAAATAAAAAATCTTATTTACATTCACATTATGTACAAATATTTTTGTAAATGCCTAATAAATAGGTTTTAGATGGACAAATAATTTGAACAGACATTTCTCTAAAAACAATATACAAATGGTCAATAAAGATTTGAAGGTAGCTGGGCTGTGGTTGTATACGCCTTTAATCCCAGCACTTGGGAAAAAGAGGCAGATGGATTTCTGTTTGAGACCAGTCTGGTCTACAGAGCAAGTTCCAGGACAGGCCCCAAAACTATAGAAAAATCCTGTCTCAAAACAAACAAACAAAAACAAAACAAAAAACATTTGAAGGTATGTGCCACATCACTAGTTATTTGGAAGTGTAAATCAAACCTCCAGTAAGATCAAATCTCATACCCAGTAGAATGCCTAATACCAAAATCACTAGCAGAAAAGTAGTCTGGGGCACGAATGTAGAGAAACAGAAAACCTGTGATCATAATTAAAATGGTACAGTTCACACAGAAAATCATAGAGCACCTCCTCAAAATTTAAAAATGGAATTAACATATAATCCAACAATTCAACTTCAGGTTATATGTCCAAAAGAATTAAAACAAGGTATGAAATAGATACTTTTACATTCATAACCATGGTATCATTAATCAAAAAAGTTACAGTGTTAAGTAATGAATAAATGATAAAACTGTTGAAAATAAATAAAAAAAATACTATTTGGCCTTAGAAAGGAAAAAATTTCACACACAAACTAGAACATGGTGAGTTCTTAGTACATCACACTAAATAAAAGAAAGCAAACACAAATATTTTATGAATCATTTATATGTAATGTAACATTTAGAGCTGTTAAAATCATAGAGACAGAGAATAGAATGTTAGTCAAGGAATGAAGGAGAAAATGGAGTTTTGGTTTAATATAGAGTTTCAGTTTACAAGACTAAAATAATTCTAAAGACTAATATTGGTGATCTTTACACGATATGCAAATGGATGGAAATAGAAAACACTATCCTGAGTGAGGTAACTCAGACCCAAAAAGATGAATATGGTATGCACTCACTCATAAATGGATTCTAGCCATAAATAAAGGACATTGAGCCTATAATCCACGATCCTAGAGAAGCTAAATAAGAAGGTGAACCCAGAGAAAAACATATAGTTATCCTCCTGGATATTGGAAGGAGACAAGATTGCCAGGCAAAAATTGGAAACTTGGGGGTGGGGTGGGGTGGGTGTAAGGGGAGATGGGGAGAAAAAAGTGAGAAGGGGGATGGTAAGAGCTTGAGGGAATGGGACAGTTGGGATGGAGGAAGGGTGGATATGGGAGCAGGGAAGTATATATCTTAATTAAGTGAGCCATTTTAGGGTTGGCAAGAGGCTTGACTCTAGAGGTGTCCCCAGGTGTCCATGGAGATGTCCCCAGCTAGATCCTTGGGCAGCTGAGGAAAGGGAGCCTGAAATGGCCTTATCCTATAGCCATGCTGATGAATATCTTGCATATCACCATAGAACCTTCATCTATGAAGCGATGGATGAAGCTAGAGACAGAGACCCACATTGGAGCACTGGACTGAGCTCCCAAGGTCCAAATGAGGAGCAAAAGGATGGAGAACATGAGCAAGGAAGTCAGGACAGCAAAAGGTGCGCCCACCCACTGAGACAGTGGGACTGATCTAATTGGAGCTCACCAAAGCAAGCTGGACTGGGACTGATGGAGCATATGATCAAACCGGACTCTCTGATCGTGTCAGATAAGGAGGGCTGACTGAGAAGCCAAGGACAATGGCACTGGGTTTTGATCCTACTGCATGTACTGGCTTTGTGGGAACCTACTCTGTTTGGATGCTCACCTTCCTAGACCTGGATGGAGGAGAGAGGACCTTGGACTTCCCACAGGGCAGGGAACCCTGACTGCTCTTTGGACTGGAGAAGGAGGGGGAGGGGGATAGAGGGAGGTGGAGGGAAATGGGAGGAGGAGAGGAGGTGGAAATTTTTGAGTAAAAATAAATTAAAAAAAGAAAAGAAAAAAGAAAAGAAAAGAGTTATCACTGAATGATGCACTAAAAATGCTTGATTTTAAGTCGGTTGTATAACATAATAATTTATAATTTTAAATGTTCAATATTTTAGACAAAGTAAATTAAATAAAAATAGTATGGTAAATTTTGTTATGTGGATATTTTTACAATTAAAATGAAACTGGTAGAAAAGCCTTATGAGTTTTCACTGTGGTAATGATTGAACTTAAAAAGAAATGTATTTTTATATATTTCCGCTGACACAGAAATATTCTCAGCAAGACCCCTATACCTCTCTATGAAGTCATTATAAGTAGACACCAAGTACACTAAAAACAATCCTCAAGATTAGCAGAAAGCATTCCAAACTAAGATTCAGCTCCATCAGCAGAGATATACAAAGGCTATGGTCAGAAAACCTGTCAAGGAACAGATGAAAAAGCAATGCACTGAAATACCGTTAACAATAATGCAAGCTGTAATTACTATTTACTGAGTTCTTGTTGAAGAGAAACAGCTTATAAAAATATCACCATCACTTCAACTAACAACCATTTTAGAAACAAATAAGAAATTAAGAACAATGAACAAAATCCTAAGCACTGAAGAAGTGGCAAAATAATTGTGGAACTCAAAATCTAACTTCAAAATCAAGGAATATAAGCCAGGTAATAAGACTTTCAGACACGTTAACAGTCAAAAGCACGGTTACAAGAGTAGTTGAGGCGACAGTAATCTTAAGTATGTCCACACAGCTGTAGACAGCTAAGGGTTTTGCATAGAAATTGACGAATCAATCTGGGGTGCAGACTGAATAATCAGTAGGTGATGATTAGGGAAAATTAAAAACTAAACAGTATAAACCATACGTCGTTATGTATTCATTTAAATCTTGTTTTGAGTGTTGTTTTTAAATAAATATATCCACATCAAGATATACATTATTTTTGGTTTTAATATACAGAATTCTACCTTCATAAATAAATAGCCAAAAATGGTGAAAATGTAATTAAATAATGAACTTGGTTGCATTACCTGTAGAAAACTATTTAAAATGAAGTTTCACACAGATGCTCCCACTTTCTCCACAGTCACAAATTACCAAAAACAGTCATATGTATCTTAATAAAACAGAGTTTCAGGATTAAACTTTGAATCTCAAACCGATGTGTAATTATAAATGTAACAGGGTCAAGGACCGACAAGGGAAGTCTATATAAGTGTTAATGTGGTTTAACTAGTACCTAGCAATCAACAATACATTTAGTAAGAACAAAGCAAATACTAAAATCCTTTTACTCTGAAGGTGCCCATAAACCAATTAACAACTTTCAATAACAAAACTTGTACCTTGTGTGAATAACACTATAAAACATTGTAAAAGAACTACACAAGAGGACAACATACTTGGCCATATACAATTTATAGAGCTAAAGGGAATATAAATAAACAGAAACACAATCATATTAATAAATCATTACATATATTTATTCAATTACTAAATATCCAAGTTAGAAATAAAAGCAACAAATATTACTTGTTTAAAGGTCTAAGCTCATTCCAGTAAAGTTTTCTTTAATATATATTTTGCATTATAAGTCATGTTTACCTTGCATTTTTATTATAGTTTAAATCCAAAAATGTGTTTTATTGAAATGAGTTTGTCAGTAAATGTAAAACATACATTTCAAAAATATGTTTGAATAATATATTATTATCAATATACAAAATTTACAGAAAACATTAAAATTTAAGTGCACAAATCCTGTGCAAAACCAACACAGACAAAATTCCAGCTTGGAGATATGAGTTGGGCTTGGGAAGACTAGCCTTGGCCAAGAAGCTATCAGCATGGTTAGCCGCTGGGGGAAGGAAACGACATTTTCTCTACGAATGTAGTCCCTGATAATTCTGTCACATTCCAAAGGAAGACTGCACATTCAAAACCATCTGAAGAGCACAAATTGGTCTTGATGGGTGTTAAAAATAAAGGACACACACAAAGATGGGTTGATAGGGAAGCAGGATGGGTCTAGGAAAAGCTGGAGGAAGATGTGAATATGATCAAAACATATATGAAACTCTCAAACAATTCTTGTTTTTAATTTAATTATATTGTAGCTCCAAAGAGTACACAAATAATATTTGAATAATATTGCTACAATATGAAAGT